CTACTACTACTACTACTACTACTACTACTACTACTACTACTACTACTACTACTACTACTACTACTACTACTACTACTACTTCGACAACCTAGTAACCTAGACTTGATCAGTTATATACACCTGATCAGCTCCATTGACGTTGAACCAATATAGTTAAGTTTGCAAAGTGAACATCAACTCTGAGATCCAGGTACATATAGCTGACGAGTCCCGAATGGGATGAAACTCGCATCCTACTGGATTCCACTGTTAGCCATTACCTATCTTTGCTTAGAATGCTTATGACTTAAGGCAATCTGTACAGGATATACGTATGCCAATAAGAGACTGATCAATTGCAGTGCTAAACATCAATGGGAAGATTCAAGGAAACAGTACCAAGTGAATTTATAAGTTAGGTTTAAAATTTCTGGATAAATCAAAGTTTATACCATAGTTGCTTAGGCCTTAAATAACTTATTAATGACGTACCTTTTCGTCAGTTGTTTGTGTACACAGTCAACTGTGCTCTGTATTTTCTAGTTGTTATGGTGTTACAATGACATTAGTCTGGCTGTAAAAGGTTGGATATTCAATACGTCTTTCTCTAATCTTGTAAAATCTCAATACTTCAGGCTTCTCTCTTTGTTCGGTCGTCGTCTCCGAATGATTACTCGTATCTAATGGCAGAATTTCGTTAAGTTATATCGAAGTTCGGTGTTATGAGTTCGTCAGATGTGAAGATGATTTTACTAGTATCATCGTCTTCAAACACCGAACTTAGTGACTTTGAACAGTTTTTTTCCTATTGGCTTTCGTATTGTTCATTATTTTCTTATGCTTGGGCTGAGTGGAAAACTCTGAGAAGTGGTCATTGTTTGATATGGCATCGTGTTATGAAATATAACTGGGTTCTTAAAGACAATGAAGCTCAATAGCTTGAGGTTTCATCAAATATGGCACAAAAGAAAAAAACCAGCGGTAGTCCAACCGTAATTTTCTATAACATTCGTCATAAAAAAGACATGAATATCTTTTCTAGGTCGTATTTCTAAGCGAGTTATATCTTGGAGTGATTACCATACCATTATTTATTGTGTCCTTGATGAATTAGTTCATGTCGACTTTACATAGGTTTAAAGAAAGACTTTCCAAGTGGAAAAAAAATTTACATTCCGATTCAGTGGTCTATAGGCTAAGGTTTTACGGAAGAGACCGAAGGTCCTAGGTTAGATGATCGGGTGTGGAGTCATGGATACTCACTGTTAAGGGGTCTCATACTAGGACGGGAAAACCATCTAATGCTTCCAGGTTTTCAATGGCGATCTAACTCAGATCAATTCATGATTTCAGTGAAATTTAACAATCTCCAAGGTCCCATACTGATAAAAAGTATAAATTATTCGTCCCATCATCTACAACACCTCGTCGGGATGAGGATAAACTCTACTCTCGTTCTCAATTTTGACCTTGCACCTGGCAACCAACCAAAATGAAGCAGGACTTATTATTTACACTATCGCATACATGATAGAGAGCGTGTTTCGTTCGGTGTCATTTTTGTAGGCTTACATGAAAAATGTCGAGTTTTCTACGACAAAAATACGATTCCATCATGCTACTGGCGTGTGAAGTGTAGCACACTATTATGATGGGAGAAAAAATTACAACATGGCAAAAGAAATGCCTCTAATCATTTCAATAATGGAAATTATTGAGAAATATCTACAATTGATTGACTGGATGAACGAAAACATAACTATAATTGCTGACTACGGTGCACTTAGATGACTTGACAACGTGGAGTTTATCTCCAGACCCCCATTATGAGAAATAATTTATTTATGGTGAAGATACTACTTTTAGTAGGTAGATTTCTTATATGAAATTTACCAAAATTTATGACGATGTTTGTATGACTGAACGAATATTGTAAAAGTTTAAGCTTTTGGGATGGGTTCCCGAATTATTATTATTACTACTATTATTGTCATTATTATTATTACTGCATAACCAATAAGTAACTGAATTACCATGTTTATATATTCTGTTTATTATAAGATTTCAATAAAGCCATTACTCAGTAGTTTAGTGGTTAAGCGCTCGCGCTCGAGACTGATAGGTCCTGGGTTTGAATCTCGTGGGGGGCAGGATCGTGGATACACACCTCTGAGGAGTCCCGCATTAGGAAGTAACAACCATCCAGTGCTTCCACGTTTTCTATGATGGTCTAGCTTCAATTGGCTCATGATCTCAACTATTGAAATTACTTACGGTTAAACGACTTGCTATTGCTAGTTTGTTGACAGTTTATTCACCCCGTTCACAACTACTTTTTGTCTTGATCACGTCCAGTGTTTTTCGACATAAACTTACATATCTTTGAAGTATAATAACTGGGGAGATTGGCTGTTGACTTCTCTATGGCCTCAGTTTGCTTCTGCTTAAGGCTAACTATAAAGATTAGAAGTTCAAATGATAAAGTCTAGGATTGTAAGCTATAAACGAAATAGTAAACATGGGACAGAGAAAAATTTTTTGATCTGAATTCTGATCACCTGATATCGATTAATGTTTCAAGATGATGGAGAAGATTTTTAGCTCAAGTGGATGATTTTGATGAAGTTTTATTCTCTGAGCTAGATGATTTGGTCATGAATGCTTTCATCGTTCTTCTGAATGACATCATCAGCACAAACTTCTACCTGAAACGTTTCAAGCCATAACAGATTTAATACAAAGATTGTTATTAATGAATAAATAAGTGAACTAATGTATTGTAGAAAATAAAATTAAGAGTAGATTATTGAAGGATATGTGATCCTGTTCAAATTCATTCATTCATATCTATTCAGTGACAAAAAAGTGGTGTTTTCATTTAATTAGTAAATTCCAAGAAAACTAATTTCAATAGTTGAGATCATGAGTCAATTGAAGCTAGATCACCATTGAAAAACTGAGAGCACTGGATGGCCGTTTCATGTCAGTATGGGACTCCTCAGCAGTGCGCATCCACGATCCTGCCTCACGAGATTCGAACCAAGGACCTAGCAATCTCGCGCCCAAAACGCTTGACCTGTAGACTACTGAGCCGACATCCAGTGGTGTTAATGTTAGCTAACAAATCCCATTCATGCAGATACAACTCCAATTGAATGTGAAGAAACACAAAGGGATATAAAATAATCTTATGATTTTACATCATTGGATCGAACTGAAGTTCTAGTTAATGAAGCTATGACTAATGGAAAGTGGTTATCAATATATACGATTCGTTACGCCTTGCTGAAGAGTACCAACAAGTACAAAACTTAAATTCAAGGTTTTCTGTCTATTGCCTTTAACCTATTAGCATTGTAACATAGTGTACATAATTTCAAGTCACTCAGACTATAGATTACATCACAAATTGATTGATAACAATTTGATGATAGTTTGATAAGATTTGCAATCTTTATTTTATCTTTTCTATCTTTTTGAGTTTATCATCAGCCAAAAGTACTTATGAAGCAGAGAATTATTTCCAGTAACATTATCAACTTTGATAAAGGGCTATTAGTGGAGTCCAGATAACGTGTTTCGTTCTATTTAGTACTCGTCAGCTGGATTTAGTAGCTAGGTGAATAATGAGTTAGGGGATTTAAACAAAAGGAATTGGATTCGAGTTCCTGTGTGAATGTTAACACTGGGATTCAGGTACACCCGGCTAACGAACTCCAAATAGGGCGAAATGCGTTTCATGGAGTTCACCACTGGCCATTATCGAATTTTGAGCAATATTTTTGTGAATTAACGGCAATATTGAGACAATCCACTCCGGATGAACATACGCCAAGTCGTATTTCTGTTTGTCAGCTCTAATGTTCTTCTCCACTCGCTTGTTTGCGTCAGTTTATTCAGCTTGTGCCATGACTTTCACTATTCTTGTTCGACTGTTGTTCATTGCTATCTTATTCTCCTTCCTTTCTTCAACCTTGTTCACGGTCTCCATAGAGATCCATCCCTTATAATGACGCTTCTTGCGGTCCAGAACCTCCTGACACATCGAAGATAGTGCTTCTTTGTTCCCCTTCCCACTGTCCTTCTTGGTAGTTTCTTCTTCTTCCAGTAGATCCTGTAAGGATTGTAACCTATCTTGAATTCGTTGTGTTTGTCAGTATTTCGAAGGAATTCTGTATTGAACCCTTATAATGCGGCTTCTCCAGTTGTCCAGTGTTTCTTTAGCTTCAGTTTCATCTTGGCAACCACCAGGTGGTGATCTGAATCCACGTCAGCTTCTATCGTGGTTCTCACCTCTTCGATTGTCCTTCTGAATATTTTAGTGATGCAAATATGATTAATCTGGTTCTCTGTAGTGTGATCCGGTGAAATACATGTAGCTTTGTTTATGTGTTTGTGTGGGAATATTTTGTCGCCTATAACCATTCTGTTGAATGCACATAAATTTGCGAATCTGTCACCATTTTCGTTCCTTTCTCCCAGTCTGTCCATGTCGTTCCATGATATCTTCATACCTGATGTTATCCATTCCGACCTTGGAATCTAGGTCTCCCATCAGGATGGTCAGGTCGTTTCCTGAGCACTTCAGAACGATCGATTACAGTCTCTAAAAAAACTGATCTTTATTGTCTTCGTTGCTATCATTGGTGGGTGGATAACATTGGATAACATTCATTCTGATTCCCTTCTTCTTTGTTTTGAAGTATGCTTTGATGATTGTGGATCCATTAGATCCCCATCCTATAAGTGCTTCTCGTGGTCCTCTGGATGGTATCGGTGTAACTCCCTGAGTGTGTGGAGCGTCTCCTTCTTCGTGACCAGAGTACAACAGCATCTCTCCCGAATCTAACCCTTTCTATCCAACATGGATCCACTGTGTTTCACTTATTTCGAGCACCGTCATCAAGTTGTATCTCCTCATTTGCGTAGCTATTCGCTTGGTCCCCCCGGCCTCCCACAGCATCAGATGCAGATGTTACCTTTTCAACAGCAACTTCTGGAAGCAGTTTTGGAAAGACTTTCTATTCAATCAAATATTCCAAAACATAAAGAATTTATTTTTGATTCAGATAATGGTCCAGTAATGATCATTTTAGAAACACCCTGTAGTACG